TTCATTGAACCCCGCAGCGTTTCAGACGCCCAGTGCTAGATGAAGCAAAGCAGACCAAGAGCATAACAAAGACTCCTCCTGCTGCTTGCAAATGGTTTCATAGCCTTTACCTTTAACACGTTTGTCTATAACTTTCTTTTTCATCTCCTGAGACAAGTCTTTCCTTTTCTTCCACAAGTCCATGTAAGGTGTGGTGCACAACATGTCAACAAACAGCACAGTCACTACCTGTAGCCATATATATAGGCCCACTGACTGATTAAAAGATTGTAGAAACCTGTGATGCTAATTAGTGGACACACACTGATTTAACATTTCACTTTGGTCACAATATTGTCTGCATTTGTTTATTTTAATAGAATGTTTATTTGTTATTAAATTTGTCAATTTTAATTCTGTTACCATTGCTGTTTTTTCTTCCATTAAACAAGGGGTACCAACAATTTTGCGATGTATTTTCTGATTTTTATATTTTGGTACTATTGATACTTTTGTAAAAACAATCCTTTAAGATGCACTGTGCTTTTATTGTGGAAAAATGTGGAGGGTTTGGCAAGGAGGTGTTCATGCCCAAAAAGTGGTACAAAGAAAAGCTTCTGCAATAATTATACCTCACTTAGACACTCCTGAAAACTGGATGTCACCCCATAATCAAATGAGTCAGTAGGAAAGAATGTCTAATGATAAAATTGCAAAACACTAACTCAGAGAGATTAAGCCCCTTTCTCTCTCTCTCTCTCTCTCTCTCTCTCTCTCTATCTCTTTTTTAAGTGGAACAAAAAAAGCGTAAGAAGGAATACGGCCCAGTACAGTTTGTAACTTTAGGTTTTGCGTGCTGTTTGTCTTTTGCACCGCAGCTTGTTTCAACTAACAAGGAACTGAAAGCATAGGATGCAAAGTTGTTTGAATTGCAGCAGGATGTTTTTAGCCTTTGGCTTGACAGTCCTCTTACTGATGAGTTCACAGCAAAGAACTGCTTCTGTCTTTTGCATCACATTAGAATATCTTTGTTTGGTTAAAGAAGCTAATTTGACCTAAACGAAAGATGTATTTTTGCTTTAAATCTCTGCAAAATAGAAGTTGAAGTTGTCTGGCAATAAAAAAGATAGAAAAATATCTAGTTTTTAACTATGATTACAACAAATGATATCAGAAAGATGTTTTAAAGTGGTGCTGAGGCTGTGTTTTTTTCCCCCCAAATATGCTTGTAACAGGTGAAAGCCGACAGAGCAGAGATGAAGCCTCGCCATCGTGGCCCGCAGCCACAGCGGCCCTTTTGGGGGAGATTGCTTGCAGGAGGGAAGGGGTGGGGGATTCACTCATCTTCCGCCCAGCTGCTGATGTCCAGTTATCCCCGAACCATTCATCACGGCTCGCTGAAAGTTAGATATGCACTGTCGCCCACCACCCCACCCCAAAGCATTGGCATTCCACAGTTCCCCCTGTGGATCTGTGCTGCTGATAGCTGTCAGGGGAGCAGCGATGGACCCACAAACTCACCCCACCACGCTTGTGTGTGCATCTGGGAAGCTGGTTTTAATAGCAAAACTAAACTTCACATTGAAGCAGGTTTAAGGGTAGTTGATGATGTTTGATGCTTCACAGTGAGACCCATGTTTTTGGTTGTTGTACATTAATGGAGATGTACTTTGAACAGGGGTCTTTTTTGTTTCTTTAACTGAAAGTATTGACTTTATATTTGCAGGCAACAGTATTTTGAAGGCCTGTTATCCGAAAGCCAGAAGTTAGAAGTATAAAATCCTGGCCAAATGCTTTTTCTGTGCATCATTGGATTGTCTATGGCTTTTCCAGCTTGCCTACAATTTTTGGCCAACTGGGGTCTGTTGATTGCCTTATGGACTGTGTGTGTAAAAGGTTTTCTCTAGTGCCTTACTCTTATATCATGGGTGTACCATTAAAGAAGATGGCAACTAATTTTGTTACCCCTTGTCACACTTTAAAATCACAATCGGCTTTAAAAAAACTTGCATCTGTCACTCTCTAATGTAGAAGTACATATGTTAATAAGGAAAGAGTTCATAATTATCCAAATAGTAAGATCTAGAGTCTACAAAAGAAGTTAAGCCTCTGCTTCAGTGACTAAGGACTTTTCTTTGAATGCACCTCAAATATAAGCTGCATTGACAGTTGATTGGGAATACGCCAAAAGAGTGAAGATAAAACGAAATGTCTCTGTTTCACAGTGCAGCATTATAAATGGTGGGAAAAAACTCATTACAAATCAAATTCAGAAAATAACGTGCATGATGTTTTAAAAAGCCATTCTGATATCTTCTAGCCTTTGCCTTTTTTCATGCATGGTCATATTTTCTGGTGATGCAGCTAAAAAAATCACCTCCATGGCTACAAACATGCAGAGTAAATGTTTTGACAGGAATTTTCCTTTTGTGTGTTGTGTTTTCATATGCGTCTGTCATTGGTCCTGTATGTGCTTGCCTCTAGACAACCTATTGACTAAGTAAAATCTCTAGGAGGCTGAGATAATCCAATGCCTCTTTGGTGATATGCTGTACTATTAATGCTGAGCCTAAAGATTAAGCCATTGTTGGGGCAAAACTAATATACATATCGACAGCTTCTTTGGCAGGGTCATCGTGGTTAACTTTGCATCATTATTGATCAGGTAATTGAGCTGATTGATAGGGGCTACTAGTGATGGATTATAAGGCACAGGTAAAGCAAAAAACACAAACATCTGTTTTGAGGCTAAAGATGAGAGAATCTTCCTTCTTAGGGCATTAGATCAACTATGTAAAATTGTGATTGCAAAGGTACTGAGCTGAAATTCTGCTTCAGTTTCCAAACAGTCAACATATTTGTGTAGAATCAAATGAAACTGGAAAAAGGCAACCGAGTCTAGTCAGAAAACACATGAGGTGCCTTTTGTTGGTATTCAAGGCATGCAAGAATATTTTCTTCTTTTATGGTTTAACTCCATTGCCTTTCTGTTCTGTAATTGAGGCATATGATCAGCTGGACTCAGGTCAGGTAGCTGACTTTGCCGTTCTAGGAAACTATGCATATATTTAGAACTATCACCCTATCATTGCCAAAAGAACTGGTGAAGAATTATATGCTGTTACCAAATATGGAAAGAAAGAGAAAAACCAGCAGATTACACATAATGCTCAGCATGTTCGCCACACTGTCTTTTCCTTTCATGATCATTAGTAAACATTTCTCTGAATTCCTTTACCCTGCACATCTGGTAATCAACCTATTCATGAAGCCTGGATACAGAAGTGGTACTTGATACTCTGGCTTATGCTTCTTGAGCAAACGGTACTCAAAGGTCCTCCATGCATGTGCAGATGTGAAAGCATACCTATAAACACTGTTGTTCTAGTAAAGAGCAGGTTATACTCTGGTGCCTTGCTCCAAGGCAGCATGGCGCACACAAAGTGGACACAGTTCCTGTGATCATGGGACTCGCCAGTTTCTATGCTTGCCTGCATCAGATAAACAGCTGAAGTCATTAAACGGTAGAAAAGAACTTTACTTCCTCTTGGAACAATAATTTTAAATCGCCATGAAATAAAGAAAGAGCAAGTGCACAACTCACATTTTAGAAAAAAAAAATCTATTTTACCTTCGATAACTTCTTCAAAACGCAATTTAATTCAGTTTATTTATACAGCGGCAACTCACAACACGTCATCTCAAGAAAATTTAAAGATCATATAGTCAGAGTAGTAAAATGTTTCTAAGGAGAACAAGCTTTTTGTAATTTGCTCATGGTAATTGCTTATTTCCCCAATTGACAGATTTGCTCCACTTGGATGAGTGTGTGGTGACAGTAGATATTTGACTCTATAGCAATCCCTTCCACAAACATGTATGGAGCGAGAGGGGAGAGGAAAAACTCCTTTTTACCAGAATAAAACCTTGAGCAGAACCAAGCTCAAGGTCGAGCTTAAACTGTAACTCCTACCTCCTGTTCCTAGCTCCTATCCACCAAGGTCAACAGTAAAAACAGTACCTAGGGTAGGAAAGAAGCTCTGGAATACCGTGCTAAGTTTAGAAAGCTTTTACACATAAGGACATCATTACTTGGCATGCACACACCAATGATTTTGGTTAAATGGTGGTGGGCTGTACCTATACGGTCTGACATGCAAAGGATTGTGGGCAACCGAGTGGTTCCTAGAGGCAATTAGTAAATGTCAGCAGGTCCCTATGCTAAATGAATTGCTGCTAGAAAGCATCCTGCTTCCTGGTCCGAGCTCCTTCCTTGCTGACAGCCCTGTTTGGAATGCACCTACTATGGCAAATCCAGATGCACCTCCGCCGTGGCTAGTGTCCTTACCAGTTTGAGGTATTAGGAGTGAGCCTCACTGTGAGTGGCCTTCTGCCAAGGCTGAATGGGTGTTGAAGAAGACAGAAGAAGAGACACAAAAGGAAGGTAGAAGCACTGATCCATAATTACTTTGTATGTTAGAGAATGTAACATACAATTTATGGACTATTGTTACAGTACAGCTAAGTGCTGTTATTACCACGTTGTTTGATAATTTTACCAATTGGGAGCATAAATACAGTAAAGACAATTGGCCCTAGCACTGATCCCTGTGGTACTTCACAGGTAACCTTGGAACTTGAAGATTTATCATTAACAAACTCAAATCTGTTAGACAAATGAGACTTAAACCAGCTTAGGGCAGTTCCCTTAATCACTACAGAATTTTCAAGCCTTTCTTAACAAATATTTTGTCTAGCTGTGTCAAATGCAGTCCTGAGATCTAACAGACAAGTACAAATACAAGTCCATTATCTATGCCCTGATAATATCATGAGTTACTTTCAGCTCTGCTGTTTCTGTGCTATGATTCTAGAACTTCTAAAACCTGAGTATAACTTTTGAAAAGACCTACATTCAAATATCTTTGATTAGAACCACGATAAATAAAGACCTTGGTTTCAAAAACATAAAACATCCTTAGTAAGAGCCCAACAATCCCCCCACCCTCTCCAGTTCTTACCACATTGTAGCAGGACTTCTCATCCGAGCCAGTGAAGTGGTATGGGTTGATTGTGTTGCACTTCTGCATGTACATCTTGAACATGTTGTTGATGTGTTTCAGTGACATGGCACAAACAGCCGAGTTAGTGGTTGGCTCCGGCGAGTGTGGCTTCCCTTGAGCGAACGCGGCAAACAGAACATCTTCACCTTCCTCCACCTTCAACTGCTTCAGCAGTTCTGCATCGTTGCCCACCTTGGTGACGTTGGCAGCCTGAAGGATGTTAAAAACCTTCACCTCTTCGGTGGAACGTCTGCGCCTTTTGTCTGTGCTAATGCATTCAAGGGGCATTTCCACATAGCGGCGTATCTGGCGATCTGAGGAACACATGCGGACTAAACGGGTGTGGTAGGCCTTGGTGTCTTTGTTCACCTGCTGCACTGTGAGGAAGTAGGTGAAGGGTCCACTTTTGAAGGTGTAAACGTACCGCAGGTAGTAATTACCTCGGAGAGATGGGATCAGATCCATGTATGAAAGACTAGAAAAAAAAGTGAATCCGTTTTGGCTCGTTTTCATCTTCCGCTGTGAGAGGGTGTGTGGACGAGTAGCATTGTAGGAACTATTTCCTACGATTGGAATCTCAGAGTTTCCAACAAAAAACTCACTGACATTGCTCTCCACATTGAGCACTTGCGACCCTGATTGACTGACAACAACATCCGGATCAAAAGGTTGACCCTCGCCTGGCTTTACCTTGTCCGCAAAGCAGTAGACATCCTCATCAACAGCTTTCAGGCTATAGCCTTCATCCAGAACGTGACGTCGGCAAACCCCATTATCAGCTGAACCACAGCTGAACAATCCCTTATCGTAAAGGTCCTCTACCACCAAAGCAACATTGTGGTTGTCAACCCTGTGAGTGCTGTTCTTCCTTGTCTGGGTCACACCGCAGGCTTCGCTGGGGAGCAGTGGTCCTGTGTTGTACTCAGACAGCTTTGTGAGGTTTGGGGCCAATGCATAGATTCTGTTCACTGCTCCGACATAGATGATGTCATCCAGAATGACCATGTTTTGGATGGGGAAATCTGAAGTGAATGTTGGGAGCTCATAGGTCACAGAGAGATTCAGTTTGCTTATCTCTGAGGATTTATCACATTGGTTCTGCAGACTGGGGCACAGAGCCCACAGTAACAAAGTGACATGAAGCAGTTGGAGGTTCATCCTGTTCAAGAAATGAGACAGATAAGACATGAGTGCGTAAAACATTACGTCTTTATCATAGATTTCATAAAATGTTTAATACAAAGTCAGACTTTTGCCTAAATGGTGCATGCATAATAAAAAGTAAGTAGAAGCAGTTAGGGAGTATTGGCCTAGTGGTTAGAGCAGTGTGCTTCTGCTCTGAGAAGGTTGCAAGTATCCTGATCATTCCCCACAGACTCCACTCTGGATCCCTGAGCAAAACCTTTAACCCCACACTGCTCCCCGGGCGCCACACAATGGCAGCCCACTGCTCGTCAGGTGGATGGGCTTAATGCAGAAAGTGAATTTCCCCATTGTGGGACAATAAAGGGATTTACATTTAGCACAAACGCTAATCTCCACAGGCATTCTGAAGGCTCTCTCTGTGCAGATTCAATACCATGAGCCACTAATATCTAATAAGGATGAGTCCATGCTCCTTCTTGGTGCAGCCAAGCATTTATGCATCTGTATTCTCTCCTCAACACGTGTGGATATGTTATTGTATACTCATATCAGATTTTGATAACAGTTTGGAACTTTGAGGGTGGAACCAACAACTAGCTGGTAAGCTAGTAAACTAGCTGAGTTTTGCTACTTTTAATAAATGCTTGCCTTTTCAGACAGTGCTGATTTCTTCCTGGATGTGGCTAATAACATCAGCAAAGCATCTTCATCTTAATTTCAGTTCTCTTGAAGAGTATAAAATGGTTAACTGAATAAATCGTTAAATAATTTAGTTTAACACTGTCATGAATGTGCTCTGACAACAGTAGCAATATGCTTTAAAAGACACTGTGCAGTCACAGGGGATGGATTTTCCTGAAAAGTAGCCAATCACAGGAAGTTTACTTTCTCAATTTGGTTCCACACTCAATGTGACAAAAAAAAAAGGACATGAACGCAGAGAAACAGGTCACTTTATAAGTAGAAGAGAGGCTAAATGTGCATAAGAAGCAAGCCACAAGCGAAAAGAAGGAGCATGCACTCTAGGATGTGATATATTGGGAGTCTCATGCTATCGGATCTGCACTCATAAAACTTTCAAAAAATCTGCATTGAGAGTCATTTACATGCCTGTTTTTAAAGTAAAAGTGCTTCAATTAGTTTTTTTATGCATGGGCCCTTTCGGCAGAATTTTTTACTTCATATCTGAAATGTTCACTTTTTGTGAATGCTAAAAGCCTTGCTGATCGGGGACAAGATCAGAAACAAGTGGAAGACTGATCTGTTTGGATTCATAAAACTGTTTTAGACAGAAAAAAAAAGTCAGCGTTTGCTCAAAACACCACAATCGATGTTAAGCACTGAAACGACTGAAGGCTTTATTAGAAACAAAAAGCTCAAACATCTGTCTGTTTATGGTGGCCACCTGACCACGAGCAAACCAGCTGTAGGAATGAGGGGATCACCTCTGAGCTGCTCCGACATATTCCCCAGTGACCACAGCACAAGCCGATGGAGTGAATCACCCTGAGAGGGGCGCACTCCGCACGGCCATCTAACTGCTGGGACTAAGTTTAGATGGGGAAAGCCTCAAGGGAGTAGAGATAAACTCAATTATAACAGAGGAGGGAGACGGGGCAAGCAAAATGATAAATAACCCTCCAGGCTAAACGGTAATCCTTTGGGAGATGCTTTTAAGGGAAGAGAGTAGGAGAGGCGAAAGGGAGAAGAGTCAGTACAATTTGCAAAAAGTACATTTGCATGTCCTGTCCATGCAGAGATCTTAACATCATCCTGCAATGGGAACGAAAAACCTGCTGTAAGATCCAGCATGTTTGGCTTTTCATGTTGCAATTATTTCTATTGCAACAGAGTCTTTCATTGGGATTCCTTCTGCCCTTCCACTAACATGTCATCTATTCAGTTCTAATGCTGGATTTAAGGTGTTGGGGCTCAAGATGAGATTATTTAAACAAAATGAAAAACTATAAAATACTTCACAGACTGCCATGTTGAGCTTCACAACAGATAAGACTTTATTGAATCTCTCTCACAGGACAAAACAACACATATTCTTGCTGTAAAATAATGCAAATAACTTAATTTTATGGTAGAGAAATGCATGCACTGCCATATTGAACACTTTTTATATAGAAAAGTACTTAATCATCCAAACTTAATTGATTCAGAAAACTATTTTTAGTTAAATTGAGATTTTATTAGAAATATATTAACATGGCATAAAGATAAGCCATTATTTTATTATAAAAGTAACTTTTTTAGTTACACAGGTTCCAAATGAATCTCAATCTAATATTTGATGCAATCAGACATTAAACATGGATCTCACCCGTGTTTAGGGTCGCAAACATGACACAGTATGTGCAAATTAATGCCAATTAAACGCGGTATGCTTTTAAAATAAGGGTTTATTACTGTATTATTTCTAATGAAAAAGAGTAGGAGGTCTGCATTAAATGAAGAGTTAAGTTTTAGTGCCCTAGATTGATGAGTAACGGGGTCACATTAATGAACACCTGCACAGAAAGAAGCAAAAATATCCTGAAGTTTTTCCCCAAAGAACAAAAGAAGAAAGGAAAACAGTAAAAACAAACGTTCAACGCTGCAAAAGGAAAATGACTCATTCAGAAAGTCGCACTTATTGATAGAGGTGGTGCTGTGAGCCAGAAAAATGAAGAGAGAAAAAAAGAAAAACATTTAAAAACACGCTGTTAAGTTTAAAAACAAAAAGGAAGAGAAGATCTGAAGTTAAAGGTTGTTTTTTATTATCAATAAAAGCCGGAGATTGACTCACCTGTTAGAGGACAGCAGTTCTGTTCCTCCTTTGATTCAAATCATCTCCCTGCTGGTTTCCTCTAAAGAATGAAATTCCTTCACTTCTTCTCCTCGCAGATCCCAAGATATGATTCTAATGCGAAACAGGAGAGTTTTATTGAAGAAAGAAAAAATCTTATGTCCTCCTAACCTTCTTCTTCTCCAAGCTGTGAAGTCCAGTGACCGGCTGCCAGTAGTAAATGGTGAGAGTCAGCTCTGACCGACTGCATCCAGCAGAGAGCCGCTGCTCCGCTCACATCAGAGCGCTCCTGGCCCCGCCCAGCACCGCTATGGCTCAGCGCGCGAGCCGTGACGCGCCCAGGTGCTGCGTGGGGTCCCCTAATGAGACTGCTTCAGGAACTATCAGTAACAGTTTAGTAAATATAGTCTAAATGCTCTTAGAGTCGCTGTCAGTGTTTGTTTTGCTTCCATTCACTCTATCTTAAACGTTTCAGAAGGTAGTTATTTTCAAAGAGTTGAATTAAAGAGAAGCGAAGCTGAGCCCAAAAAAAAAAAAAAAAAAAACAAGTTGATTTTTATAAAATAAAATGGTTCAATTTAGTAACGGAAATGATTTGGGATAGTCAAACTTTATATTTTACGATTTGAATACTTGAATAATTTAATTTCTTTGATTATCCTCAGCGACGGTCCTAGCCTGTTTGGGGGCCTGAGCAAATAACACCCCCCACCATGACCTAAAGGGCTGGTTATTCTCCCCGCAACAGTGTGTAGCCGTGAGCTTGTTGCAGACATTTTTGATTTATGCTCGATGTTGAAGTGTGGTCTGTGCTATGTTTTATCCACGCCACAACGCAAAAGGGAAAAATCACGAACTGCCTGTGGGTCTAGATACGGCCGAGGCGGTGAGGAACTGCGCCAAGTTTGTGCGACAACGGAGGGAAGTGAAAAAGAGCGGGGAACCAGGTGGAAAAAGGGCACCAGCGTTCTCGCGCACATCGCTCTTCCAGCTGGTCCATCTTTACGAGTCGTTTTCCACAATGGCGGTCATACAAACAAAACAAGTCGGTAAGGTACCAAACAGGAGATACGCATAGTGTAGTGCAAATGTAGATTTGACCAATCAGACGACTCCTCTCTGCGGCACTGTCACCTACAATTTGGGAGAGGTGCAGCAGAGTGTCGGCGGGACGGGGAAGTCTCTGTGTTCACCGTGTCACCTACACAGAGGACCTCATTTCGAAGTATAAATCAGCCTTAAGGCGGCGCTGCATTATTTCACCACAGACTTCTTTAGGTTTGGGAATTAGACCTTTGACACAAGGTTAAGTTTTAAATCCTGTGACGTTAGGGTTAGAAGCAGATTAGTGAAGATAAGCTGCAATATGGGTACATGATAGGTTACAGAATATTTTGTACCACCTACTCCCCCCCTGAGAAGGACCTTTGAAAATGTTGGAAACAGCTGCATGCTACATGTTAAGCTTGTAGTCTGTGCCAAAACATGCCCCTCTAGAGTTAGCCAGATTAATAATATGAGTTACATGACACACTAAAGTGAGGGTAGAAACCCTCTCACCCCCTTTCTGTTACGACCTGACTGTCAGACCATGCCAGAAACCTACATACACCACAGCAGGCAGAGGAACCCTTTCAAGATTCTTGTCCTAATAATTCTACTTACTGTATCGCCTTTAGAAACACACAAAGTAGGCAGAAACAAAATTCAAAAGAACTCATCATGATGCTATTTGAAATAAAATCTAAGAGCAATTTTAATTCATACATGGAACAGTAGGGAACCTACCTAGTAGTGGCTGCGCTATCAAAGTCATTCATAACGCATATTGATGCCTCATGCAGGAGATTACAAATGAACCTATCCTAACTCGTCTGGTCTTGTGTTCGCCTACGTCTTCCCAAACCCCCGGTCGGCCGCCGCAGGAGTCCGTTCTCCATGCTCATCCAGGAAAGGAGAATTTTGCAAGTCAAAGACTTGATGCAACTTATTGATCTCCTTGGATAGAAAACTTTTTTTACCGGTCTGTCTGTTTGCTCTGAACAAATTTGAATTGTAAACTCCATATAAAGAACGTGTGGTGAAAATTAACTGAATTTCAATTTATAGTTCAACAACTCCATGTCCTCCCCTCAGCCTGTGCCACTTTAACTAACATTCAGTGACAGAAACATGACTTTACTAGAAGACAAGACTGATTACAGTTTTGGTCTGAAAG